GCATTGCTCAAAACTCATTCGCTCCAGCACCTGATCAAATATGCCTCGTTTACTTTGGGCTTTTGGTGTCTTTTAGAAACATATTCCTATTAACCATAGTACGAATTGTGCACATTGATGTTTAGTTGCCCGCGTTTCAGCAGCGTTGAGATTTTGAGCTTACAAGACAGGGGCTCAATCGTGACAGAAGCGTGATGGAGTAGCACAGCGGCACGCGTCGGCTTGAAGTTATTCAACTATCAAAACATCGTGACCAATGTGACATAACCGTTATGGTCACAGGTTTCCACAATGAGGGTAGAGTCACAGTATCGGCATCCCGCTGGCATCTCTTCCAGGCTTCGAGAAAGTATGCAGAAATATTGAAAGCTACGGAAGACGCTGAATTACATGAATAGTAAGTTTTCAGAGGTTATTGGCTAGATAAAAGATTAAGGGAATAAACACGAGACGGAGGTGTTTCACAGGGGGTACATTGTTTCACAGGGGGGGCATCGATAGTATCATGCAATATTACTCGTCAATCCGACCGATCGGGGGAGAAAAATGGTCCCGGAAAGTCATCGCTGCATTTCTTTTTGTTATCTACATGAACTTCTCTTGGCCTCATGTCGCTAATCTATTCAAACACTGGAGCTACAAATCTTACACCCCGGCTCTTCACGATCTGATCGTCTCGTGCTACGCCAATTTCCAGCACTTAGTGAGTCTGACTCCTCCTTAAGCGTCGGTCTCCGTCAGCGCGTTATGAATCACCGCCACTTCCAACACTTTCACCATAACCCAAGATAACATCCACAGCGAAATTAAACTAGTGGCGGGTGTCACCAACGCCTTCTCCTCGACCTCATTTCTATTCTATGATGTTTGTTGCGAGCCGTACTATATTACGCTACATTGTCCTACTTAGTACATGTACCACCTATCTTTGCTATCACGGAACAGGCTCATTTCAGTCCAGCGCCTCACAAGTTCCAACCTAGGTATCTCGCTCTTCTCGCGGAACAGCGCCCATTCATCTTTACAGCGCTTACCAAACTCCTTCCCATCAGCGCTTATCACGGACACCCACTCGAGACGACATCCGGAGCGGTCCACCAGCGTCTGCACGCACTTCGTGTCCTCCGGCTTCTCCGCTGTCACTCCGACCGCCCTCAATCTGGGGAATGCCATCCTCTCGAATAAGATCGACTGAAACGCTGGCTCGGGCGAGTATATCCCTAGCACACGCAGGTTCGCGTGAGTGAATGGCTCCGCCGCGGGGGGTGGAGGGCGTCCGCCTGTCCAGATCGCGAACGCGTTCTCTGTGATGACGAACAGCTCTTCGAGCCTGGGAAAGCTCGCCTCGAGTGCGTTGAGATCAAGTTCAGGCGTCTCTGACTCGAGCGTGAGCGAGACGAGGTTGATCCAGGCTTGACCTTCTTCGGGGCTCATGAATAGGTCCGCGTCAAGGGAGGTGTTGCATCGTAAGTGGAGGTGGGTGAGCCGGTTGAAGAGGTCTTCGCCCATGTCTGGAGGGTCTTTGAAGGCGACGTCGAGTAGTGTGAGGCGGGTAAAGGAGATATGCTGTAGCCAGGGTTTGAATTGATGGTAGAGTGCCCTATTGCAGTTAATATCGACGCCCTGGATCCTGTGGAGGGATGTGTTGTTCTGCGATGTGGCCGAGCCGTTTGTGATAGTATTGACAGAACGTATCATGATTCCAGGGTCAAAGTTTACGCTCAAAAACACAGGAAGTGTTCCGGACCTCTCGAGCAACTCGTGTGGCAGAGGGATCACGTTGTCGAGGACAGACTGCATGATGGACATATGCAAGAAGTTCCACAACCAATGCGTACTGAGAACGATCCTCCGCCACGCTCGGCAGACATGCGCTATGGGTGGAGCCGATGAGACGCCCCGAGGATGCAAGTATAGTTGGTAGTGGTCATTATCAGAAGTGAAATGTTGTTCGGGAACCAGCACTGAAACGAAGATGTCGGATAGGATCTCTGCTGGAAGACGACTGATTGGAGGAGCAACGGATTGCTCATCAATACCAAGATCTAGGCGGGAAAATGAGGCAAGTGTTGCTTCCACATCCGAGCCCGAAGATTGCAGCGTCATATTTACAGATAGATTGACGATTGTGTCAGCACGGCCTCGTCTTCGTGTTGTTCAAGCAAGGACTGGCAAGCGCCCTAGTAGGCCAAACAGACGACTGCAACAGAGTTGATCACTAGCCTATAACGTTTCAAGGACACGTCGGGAATCTGCGCCACAGGCTTCCGCAACAGAGTGAACACTCACGTCGCAAATACGGACCAAAGCTTCGAATGCCAATGACGCTTTGAGCCTCGCGACAATCACAGTGGAAGCCTGAGCCAGAGAATAACATCACAAGCGTGACTGTGACGTCTGTGCATGCAGCATACTGAATTTAGCAGGCGGAGTTCAAACCGTGACAGATCTTTCACATGTCACGGCTCATACCGTCTGGTCTCATTATCACCGACATGACGGAGTTCCTGATACCTACTCATATCTCTGAACCCTTTCATGCTCGGGCAAGGCGCGGATGCTGAGTACACGTTCGTGAAGGTGACAGCCCTGAGCTCATTCCTTCTGGAAACTGGGTGGTTGCGGTGGATAAGAGGATATCATTTTGATACATCGTACCTATACTTACACATCCAAGCAAGCACGGGTAAGCAAGTAAAATATCCCGGAGTATCGCTGTGACCAAGACAGGATACCAATCGGTGATATCGCCATGGGCCCGCTCACTGTCAAGCATCATCCCATTGGCGCGGATGCGTAGACAACAGATCGAAACAACACCTCGAGCGGTCCATTAGCGTCTGCATATCGTACCCTTTGGTGCTGCTTCTGTCACTCCAGACGCCCTTGGCCAACCCTTAGAATTAAAATGTCGGACTACCGTGTTTTAGGTAATTACATCCTGGCAAGCTTACTCGTGGTCTACCGGGTGAGCGTCTCCGCTTGCATAAATCGCAACGCGTTGACGCGACCTCTAGTTTTGGCAAGTCAAGTTTAGCTATGCGCGCTAGCACTCTCGTATCCGAAAGTGGTGCTCTTCACAAAGTCAGAAGACTCGACTTATCTTGGAAGCATCGTACTGACCGTAGTAGTAGTTCTCTTTTTCAGACCAAGAGGTTGTTTTGAGAACACCCTCGGTTCAGTTCATCGAGGTGGCATGTCAGTTAATTCTCATTTCCCGCCGTCTACTCCCACCGAGCCTGTGTGGCGTCCGATCGATGATATTCTGGGCTTAAATTGGTGTCGTATGCTTTAGGTACTGCTTCTTCAATCCCTGATAGGACCAGCAAAACATTCGTTCGCCGACCCAATGGTGAGGTAGTCTAATAAAGGGTGCTGCATCCCACTCCCCTTACAAGTAGCCCCGTTGACGCCATACTTCATCATGTCTCTGACCACGCCTACCATGCACTCTGCCATCTCAATCTCTGCTGCGATAGCATGCGTGGTCGTATTGGCGACCATCCGAGCTCGACATCGTCTCCGTAGAAGGCGATTGCCCCCAGGACCGCCACCACTCCCGCTCATAGGGAATACGCATCAAGTCGACCCATCGTATCCATGGCTTTCGTTCACTCAGTGGAAAGCGCCCTATGGTACCTTCTTGCTTGCTATGCGAAGTGTATGCTGATGTGGAGTCTCTAACAGGCGACCTGGTTTACTGCAATGTGCTCGGCCAAGACATCGTGATAGTCAACTCGGAGAAGGTAGCTGAGGACCTTATGGAGAAGCGCTCTCGCAACTATTCAGACAGGATGGACATGTCAGATATGCTGGAACCGTGAGCTTTCCATATACGTCCAGCGTAAATGGGTAAATATAAGCTATTTTGCGCGTTTTCCCTTTAGGTATGGTATGGACTTCGCCACTGTTCTTCTCAACCACAACGCAACATGGCAAGCCCATCGGCGCATCCTCCAGCAAACCTTACGCCCTGAAGTGGTCGTCGCGTATCAGTCAACTCAGCTTCATTGTACCGCCAATTTGACTCAGAGTTTGGCAAGGGCACCGTCCGAGTGGTGGAAGCACATTCGATCGTTTGTTTCCTGATAGCTACGAGTTTATGTGTGTTTTCCGAACTAATATCACCTTTCACGTTTAGCTTCTCTGCGGCTATCGTGATAGGAACAATCTACGACCACGAGCTCCCAGAGAACCCCGAACATGACGTCTCGTTTAAAGCAGTTCTGGATGGATCTGAGCTCGGCGTTATCATTGCCTCACCCGGACCCGTTGCTCTGGTAAAAGCAATCCCACTCGGTACGTCGCCTTTGTAACCAATTGCTCACCTTGTCAAACGTTGCGTGGCGAACTTCTGTCAGTGAAACAACTCCCAACGTGGATGCCCGGAGGTCAATGGTTTAATGCTGCTGCCTGTAAGCGCGTATTCAACAAGATGGTTGGCACCCCCTTCGATGAACTACTGGGGAGGATTGTAGGCAGCGTTTTTCGATGCAATTCTTGTGGCTGACGTTTTATGAATGTTGAGGCAACCGGGAAAGCAGGACCGTGCGTTGCAGCCGATGCGTTGGCCAAATTTCAAGACACAAAAAAGCTGGAGAATGCTGAACAAGTTGTGAAAGACGTATGCGGTACAGCATACTCTGGTATGTTTAGTCGATATTAACTTTCCGTTGACTGACATTGTCACGCCATTAGCTGGCGAAGAAACGGTTAGCTATTGGATTCAATCTTGGTAACTTCATATAAATTGACCATGATTCATATCCTAGACCGGCTCGACTCTAATCGTGTTCACGTTGGCCATGGTGCTATATCCGGACATTCAAAAACGAGCTCAGGATGAGATAGAGTCAATCGTAGGCAGCAGTCGCCTTCCCGACTTCAACGATAGATCTGCTTTGCCTTATATTGAGGCAGTCTTTCGGGAGACACTGAGATGGAGGCCTGTCGTTCCGTTGGGTATGTACAGTGGCCCGGACGATTAGCTATTCGTGTAGCGAATTTGCACTAAACTAACTTCTAGCGATTCCGCATGTTGCTGCGAACGAGGACGTTTATGATGGCTACCTTATTCCCAAGGGCAAGTTTTGTCGATCTGAATCCAAACCTCACTCACGCGCATGTTTATGCAGGAGCCGTTATAATGCCCAACCTCTGGTGCGTTTTTTAACGTCTACACTGCTCAACAACAAGTTCGTGCTAAAGGCATTGCAGGGCCATGTCTCAAGACTCGACCAAGTACCCCTCTCCCGAAACCTTCAACCCCGAACGCTTCCTCGACGCAACCGGAAAGCTGACAACAGACACGCCCAACTTTGCGTTTGGCTTTGGTCGACGCGTCTGTCCGGGCCGGCACCTGGCGAGCGGATCCGTATGGATCGCAATTGCACAGATCCTAGCGGCATTCTCGATCGAGAAAGCAAAAGACGCTGCTGGAAATGTGATCGAGCCGAATCCGGGGTGGAAGAGGGGTCTATCGTCGTGAGCAAACCCGCCATGTTCAACTCCGCTCGTAAGAGCTTGCAGACTCATCTGTGGCTTCCGTACAGGTACCCCCTGCCATTTCCTTGCAGCTTTGTTCCTAGGAGGCACTAGAGTAGCATCGTCATCCAGCATGCACATATAATCTTATAGCAATCTGAAGCCTTTTAGTATAGAGACATCTTTGGTAGCTGACTTGAACAGACAAGGACAAACTGATGTATATACCATGGTAGTCGAGGGCCGAAGAGAAGCTTTGAGTCGTAGTTTCCATGCCACAAACCTTCGTGACAGCGATTTTTCGCCTCGCATAACACATGTCGTACTCAGTGCTCAGCAACACACAAGACGATTCACGGATGCGCGGCTTCTTGATCAGTGACTGAATACTCCCAGAGTCGAAGTGAGCGGCCCTCCCCTCAAACCTCCAGTGAAACCACTGATCACGCCTCCACGAGATCAGAAGACAAAGATTAGCAGCAAGCTAAACCACCCGCACAAGCAAAAGCACTAATACGAGCGACAACTAATAAAATCAAAAGTCCGATGAGAAAACGCGTCCACGATCGCCCTCGCAGAAGGAAACGTTCATGGGCGAGTTGGTATAATATTGTACTAAACCTTTCCGAAAAAGCACTATCAACAGAGCCCAGATTTTATATCCGCCAGGGGTCCTAGTCCACGATTATACTATATGGTAACTTTGTGACATGTCGTAAACATCGCCATCGCGCGCTGGAGCCTACTTGGAACCGTGAAGGCGTTCAGGCGAAGATGGCCATGGCGAACGCGACACCGGCAAGACCGGCAGCGGCCGAGACGCCGACGGAGGCTGCGCCGCTCGAGCCTGATCCCGAGCCGGTGCCAGACGTGCCAGACGAGGAGCCAGAGCCACTCGAGCCAGAGGTGCCTACACAATCAAATCATGAGCGACACTGCACCCGTATGCAAAGAACACCAAGGGAGCAAGCAGGCTTACCGGTAGGCGAAGCACCCGCAGACGTGCTGGACGACGCAGTAGCGCTATACAGAGCATCGCTCGCGTACTGGACGCAGTTGGACGACGCGGGCGGCGTGGCGGTGTACGGCGGGCTGACGACGCCGGTGTACGGCTGCGAGTACGTGAGCGTCTGCCCGCCGGACGTGTAGATCCCGACGGGATACATGTTGTCCGCGTCGCAGACCTCGAATGTGCCGTTCTGGCCGTTGTTGGGCATGTTGTAGCTGCACCCGAGCTCGTCGTAGATGTTCTGGCAGTACTCGGTCTGGTCGGACGAGCTCGAGCTCGGGTCGCAGATCTTGATGCAGAAGATGTTGCCGCCGATGAAGCTGTGGGAAACAACGGCTCGTTAGTCCCGGCGATAGACGCCTTGGTGAGAAGAGGCTAACCTGTTCCAGTCGATGATCTGGGTATAGGTGTTGTTGTCCGTGTTGCTACTGGGGTACACGTTCGAGTACATGAGACCACCGAGGGGGTTACCACGCTACATCATCACGGCGTCAGCATCAGCATCATTTCACCTCAAGTCCCAAAATAACCAGGACCGCAGTCATCCACTCGGGGACTGCTGCCCTTCGAGAAAGCACAAAGCGCAAAACCAACCCCCATAATGGACGTGGATTACGCAGAGCAGAGAAACCGTGTAACGAAAATGGCACTCACGAGATCAGCCCCGTGGGGGTCGAGCTCCCCACCGTAGTCACCGGCAGCAATGTCCAGCTTAGTCTGGTCCAGGTATCCAGCGATCTGCACGTAGTTGGGCGTGCGGAGGTACTGCACACCCGTGAGTGCGCCGGGAGGAATAACACGAGTGCCATGGCCGTTCTTAGTGCACCAGGCGACCTCTGACTGCTCGGTATCGGCAATAGTAGAGTTGGGCGAGGCAGGAGCCCAGAGGCAGAAGTCTTATAGAAAGAGAGGAAAGCGATGAGAATGGCGCAGAGGGCCACGGGAGCAATTATTGACGCACCATCGATCTGGTTGACAAACGACGTCTGGCACAACGACTCCTGGTTCTCAGTCGTCGAGTTACAGATGTTGTAACCGGTCTGCGGACCACGGATGGCAGCGGTGTTGTAGTCGACCTGGTAGGGCTATAGTTCGACGTCGTCGTTAGCTCCCGTCTTGTATCACAGCGGAGACAAACGTGAGACTTACAATGCCACCGGGGTACGAGTAGGTCTTGTCCACGAGTGGGGTGGGGTCGGCCGGGTCGGGCTGCGCGAGCGCGAAACGGGCGGCAATAGCGAGGGTAAGGAACGTAGAAAGAGCGGTACGAGACATCTTGCGAGTGTTCTCTAAATTCAAGCAAGCAAGTAAATTCGAAACGCTGAACGACGAAAGTCGGTAAGTCAAAAGGCTATGCGGGGCAAAGGGCTAGAAAGGACCGAGTGAGGGTTGGGATGGAGGAACTGGAGAGCGTATACTCGAAGCGGAAAGGTGGGTGAGGTGGGAGAAGAAAGCAAACGATGAGGCAGGACGCAAGCCACGGGACGCCCATCCTTAAATACGATCTTAATTATAGACCACACAGCGCAGCATTCTCCATGCCGTCCGTGCGCACGCCCATCCAGGTCCACCCCTGCTCCGTCCTGGCCAATCGAGGACAAGCAGGTCCAGCAAATGACCCAAGAATAGCATCTGCCAGCCTTGTTCAGGGCGTGTTGTGCTATTTTGGGCGAGCTCATCAGAAACAAGGCTATACTTAGCTCAAACCACCTATCAATAGCGCGACAGGACGGCCGCGCAGCAAAGCCTGGTAAGCTATATAAGCTCGAGGCATCTATCAGTGCGAGGCTAGCCAAACTCACCATCCAGAAATGCGATATCACCTTAACCCACTCTCAGCGTCAAACATAATACGAACCACGTCTGCCTTGCATGTCGGTGGCGTGACATGTCAATCTGTGCCATTCCGCCTGCCGACATCATGAGCCGAAGAGTAATGATCTAAATTTAGCTCACCATGACTGACAACGCCCGTCATAGCGCAGACGCCCTCCTTTTGCCTTCTCTCAGGTGCCGACGGGCCCATTTGCCTCGACCATACCTGCGCCAGAGCAAGCGACCGGCTCTCCACCGGCGCGCGGAACAGCGAGCATGCCTCGGGTTGCTGCCACGAGCGGGAGAAACTCACATCATCGTTGCAACAGAACTCACATCGCCGCCAAATATCAAATTAGGAAGCTTCGATTCGGACATGATCGGGAACCGCGCAGGGGCGTAGTTAGGGAGGCAAGGTAAAAAGGTAATGTCCATCATTGCAAACAAAGCAGTGATCTAGAGTAACGTCGTGAATAACAACTAGGCAAGCAAAAGAGTCGTTTCAAAAATCCAGTGTGTCCCAATATCCACTTCATCACGTACGAGAAGGAAGACCTCATGTAGACAGACGTGCAACCCCATACCAGCTCCGTTTAAGCGAAGATGGCCATCGCGAAGGCAACGCCAGCGAGGCCGGTGATGGCGGAAACGGTCATCGACGAAGCGCCGTTGGAACCACCAGAGCCCGAACCCGAGCCAGACGAACCAGAGCCGGAGGAGCTACCGGAGCCGGAACCGCCAGTGGGCTGGCTGCCGCTGCCGGTGGACGTGGGCTTGACGGCGTCGGTGTAGAGCTGCGCAGACTGGTACTTGACACAGTTCGACGACGCGGGGGGAGTGGGGGTGTAAGGGGGGTTGGGCTCAACACCGTCGGGGGGCTGGGTCCAGGTCAAGGTCGCGCCACCGGAGACGTAGGTGCCGACGGGGAGGACATCGTCAGCATCGCAGACCTCGAAGGTACCGTTCTGGGCGTTGTTGGGGGCGTTGTACGCGCAACCGACACGGTCGTAACGGTTCTCACAGTTCGAACCCTTGTTCTGGCTGCTGGGGTCGCAGATCTTGATGCAGAAGGCGTCACCACCCATGAAACTGTGCTGGCGTCAGCAAGGTAATGCACGCGACAGCAAGACAAAAACTCACTTAGTCCAGTCAGAAACCTGGGTGTAGGTGCTGTTGTCGGTGTTGCTCGAAGGGTACACGTTCGAGTACATGAGACCACCAAGAGGGTTGCCACGCTGAACGTGAAAGTAAGCACATAGGCCAATCCAAAATATAAAATAAATAACTAACGAGATCAGCACCGTGCGGGTCAAGCTCTCCTCCGTAGTCACCGGTAGCCATGTTGACGTTCTCCTGCTTGATGAAGCCAGTAATCTGGATGTAGTCCTTCATCTTGAGGTACTGGACACCCTGGAGGGTACCCTCGGGCATAACACGGGTACCGTGGCCCTTCTTGGTGCACCAGGCGATCTCCTCCTGCTCGGTGTCAGCGATGGTGGAGTTGGGCTTGGATGGGGCCCAGAGGCAGAAGTCTGGTAGGAGGCGAACGTCAGTACCATTTTATGCTGACGACAGACACAGGTAAACTTACCGTCAAGGTGGTTGACGAATGAAGTCTGGCACATGGACTGCTGGTTCTCCGTGGTGCCGTTGCAAATGTTGTAACCGACCTGGGGACCACGGATGGCGGCGGTGTTGTAGTCGACCTGGTAGGGCTGCAGAGATATGTCAACCGCAAGCTCAGACGAAGGTGAGCCGTTTTACTTACGATGGCACTAGGGTACGCGTAATGCTTGGAGTAGAGCGGCGTGGGGTCGGCGGGGTCTGGCTGGGCGAAGACATAGGTCGAGGCGGCAGCGGCGATGAGGAGAGCGGAAAGAGTGGAACGAGACATCGTCTCAAAAATGTGTACGGCGGAAAGACAGAAAAGTTGGACTGGTTGGGTAACGAACAGCGGGGAGCGCTGCGGGCGGGGTGGCAGAGACGAGGTTGGGAGGAAGGAAAACTGTTGATGGGCGTTGACGACGAAGGCTTGGCTCTTCAAATACGGGCAGGCGCGGCAAACTCCGCGAGACCAGACAAGCGAGGTGGCACCTTTGGCTTGGCATCGAACCCCGGCTGCGCACTGACCTGTCAACTCCACCAAGCAACCACACAAGCGAACGCACTGACCACCATTTCACGTGAACCGAACGCGACGCGAGATAACAACAGGGCCCAGACCTCCATTCACTTGCTCTTTCCCTCCTCCTTCTCCCACCAATGGCCGCTACTGCAACAGGTACGCATACAACGCCTACGCCGCTAGCTCGCTCGAGAACTGAACACGCTCCCTAGTGACCCGTACCAAGACCGCCACCAAGGCCGCCAACCAACGGACCAAAAAAGCAGGTAAGACATTTCTCAGCCGCCGCCGACGGCGTATGTTAGCTTACCGACTGGCACAGACAAGGCCGACAAGCCGAAGCGTCCCCCGTCAGCGTACAACCTCTACGTCCGAGCCCACATGAAGCCCTGGCTCGAGCAGCACCAGGGATCGACCAACAAAGACGCGATGGTCGCGGTACGTGATTATATGCGCGTGTATATGCGCATTCTCTACCCTCACGCGCCCTACTGACCTGACGCGCTCTAGATCGGCGCCATGTGGCGGGATGCTCCTGAAAACCCCAATCGCGGTAAAGCGCCAGCAGCCAGGAAGCCCAAAAAGAGCGCGAACGCGCAAGGAAACAAACTCGGCGGCGGCAAGGACGTTGCTGGAACGTCCAGCTGCGTCGAACAGGACGATGACTTGTCTCTGCACCAGTTCGATGGCTCGGACTGATTCGCACGTCCGGGCATCACTTTCCGGCGCCTGGCAACCTCTGGCCCCAAAGCAATGCATACATCCAGCAAATTTTGAAGACGTATATTGCCCCGTCTGCCTCGTTTCTTGACCCCGTGACGGTCGACATCTGCTATTGTGCTTCTACTGGTCCGCGTAATTGGGAGCCACCTACCTACCTTGGCTTCTGTGCTATTTAGTCTGGTCGACTCCGAAACTTACTTGTACGATATGCTCCTGGGCGTAATGCGAGACTTCTTGACCATACCATGACGTCACCCTTACTCCAGTGTGACCCCCCGTCGGACGGAGCTGCCGCTGCAAGCAAGAGTCCTCGAGGCATCTATAACGGTAGTTGTCAGTCTGGGATGCCCTCTTTCGAGGAGGACATGCATCCATGAGGTAACCCACAGTTTTGCGCCCCCCTGTCTCGTTCTCGAACTGATTCGCGCGACGCGCCGCAGTTCGCAAAGTCATCGAAACACGGATCATGTGACTCCACCACCGCCTTTCAGTTCAAACCCAGAGCATTCCTCTGGGCCTGAACCTCGATTACGCAGCGCGAGGGCGCGAACGCTCGTCATCCTAGTCGTCATGCGCCCCTATCCGCAAGAATACCAGAGCGCCGTCCGAGCGCATATATGAACCCTCGCGCGCAACTGAGATTCTGCATCTCACTCGACCCGACCTTATTAACCTCATCCACTTCACATTATCATCATCATGGACAAAACCACATCCGTCGTCGCAGCTCTCGACGCGGGGAAGATGCCCACGCAAAAGCAGATCAACCAGATGTTCGACTGGATCCTGGACAATATGTTCTCCGGCCTGGAGTCGTCTGACGCGGGCAAGCTCAGCGAACCCGGCAAGATTCTCGCCGAGGGCATTCGTGACATTCTACAAGCATACAAGCAGCTCGGAACGAGCAAGAACGGTGCGTTTCTTTGGGCACCTTCCTAAGTTATACTCCTCTGACGACCCCTATCCCCTACCGCCAGGCGATAACAAGGTCCAGGACGTGCTCTGGCATCTCTCCGGGTCTAACTTCTCGGATACTAGCATGCGCCAGATGGACACTTCCGATGCGTCGAGAGACGCAGAGGCACTCCGCAGTGCGCTCCGCACCGTCCTCAATGTCGCTTGGACGAGCGTGAGCGGTGAAGGGCAGTACCTCTTCGCCGACTTCGCGTCGTTCTCGCGCCTCGCCATGGCCGACTTTGCTGAGGTCATTGAGAGCTCGGCATCCCATGCGAAGGAGAGTCTGCGCGACATTGACCAGGAGGTGCAGGAGGGCGAGCGTGATACGCTGGGCCGCAAGAAACGCAGTCGGGAGGAGGAGGAGCGGATGCAGGACCCGAAAGTGCAGTTCGAGTCGGCGATGGACGTTGTCAAGGATACTGGCTCAGCGGCGATTGGCACAGGCCAGAAGGTGTCCGAGTCCACCAAGGAGACTGCGAGGGCCGCGACTAACAGGCTTGAGGAAGCGTATCGCAACGTATGTGCACTATGATGTCTTCGCATTTACATATTCTAACGTCGACGCGATTTCATCAGGCATGCGAGCGGGCTCAGACGGATGAGAAGTACCGCGAGTCCCTCTCCACCCTCTTCGATACCGCATCCAAGTGGGTCAACCGCGGCCTCGACACTACGTCCGATCTTGGTGACACCGCGTCTCTTGACGATTTCATCGAGGATCCGACGCCGGAGAAGCATCTGCACAACGCAATTCGCGAGATGCGCACCCTCATTGAACGGTTCGCAGGAGGCAAGTCGCTTGACGATCTCCTCGGGTGCATGCGCGCCTGCGCTATCGACGTACGGAGCGACCCCGAGCTGAAGTCGTGGTTCACCGAATTCTTCTCGCACGCGAGGAGGAGCCTTGACGACCCGAAATATTCGGGCTCCGAGGACGCAAGGCAGAAGCATCAGGAGCTGAGGGCGCGCTGGAAGGAGATACTCAGCGAGGAGTCGGACAAGGGACGTGAGTGGAAGGAGGACTTGGGTGCGCTGCGACGCGAAATGCGCCAGTACTACGAGCGGATGGAACATGATGCGGACGTACAGCGCGTGCGTATGGCTCATGAGCGACTCCAGCACAATGTGCAGCAGGGAATTTTGTCTGGCGCGCAGATTAGCCTCCACGCACTCGTCGAGCAATCACCATGGTTCTGGCAGGACATGTTCAACGTTTACGCACAGAAGATCTTAAATGTCGCCAAGGACATTCCTATCCCGAGGCATGTAGTTCCCTTTCGCTCGTTGACTCTGGCGCTAATACTTGCGCTCTTCCTCCAGGACGGAGTACGTGGACTCGGAGCATGAGTTTGTTCTCGAGAATCTCAACATCACCACGCTCAATCTTCTTCCCGGACACGCATACATTCGCAACATTGCGGATATCGACATCACAGCGCCCGCAGGTTCAGAGAAGGCTGTCACCGCCATTGGCACGCTTACCCACGTCAAACTTCAGGCGGTCCATCTCGCCCTCGACGAAACTTCGTTCTACTACAAAGACAAGACTGCCACCATTGGGCCCTCTGAGTTCAGCGGCATCATGGAGCTCACCCTCCCTCCGCAGGGTGTCGACGTCGACATCAAATTCCGCCTCCTCCCCAACACGCCCCAAGGCCTTGCCGCGCGCCAACAGCGCGCACGCTACTTCACGCTCGACCTCGTTTCCGTTTCTATCAGCGAGGACGTCACCGTCGAGGTCAAGAAGTCGAACCACGCCATCCTGGCGTCCGTCTTCAAGCCCATCATCAAGATGCGCTTCCGCGAGGCGCTCGAGCGCACGCTCGAGGAGCAGATTCGCGGCGTGTTCGACACGCTCGACACGCTCGCGTACGACGTCTCGCGCCGCTCCGAAGTCTTCCAAGACACCGGGCTCGGCTCCGGCGCGGCGCTCATGGCTGCCATCTGGAGCGAGATCGGCCATATGCGCAAGATGGAGGGGGGGCTGCTCACGGGATGGAAGGCGACGGGTACGGGCGTGATCAAGGAAGCGAAGGAGGGTGAGGCGAGTATCGCGATGGGTGCTGAGCCGCAGATTTTGTCTGGCGAGAAGCACGGGCCGCTCGGGACTAACTCTCAGCCCTTGGCTGAGCGCCTGCCAAGCGCGAAGGATATTTCTGGATCCGTGCAAGAGGGTACTGAGCGTATCGCGGGTGATGGCAAAGAGGCAATGAAGACGGTACAGAGCTTCAAACAGAGCGTTCGGGCGAAGACCGAGGAGGAGCGTAAGAAGGATGGTTGGAAGTCAGAGTCTTTCAACTTTTGAATTACAGACGGTACATGCTCTTCTTTGGATCCTTTAAGCTAGCACTTGTATAAGTAGATCGAGCACAGGCTGAGCAACATGACAATTCTTGACAATGGCTTGTCCGATTACTTTAGAAAATGTGATTTCCCGTATTGTTAACGCAACTTGACCTTGAGCTCCTCGTCTGTATTGATGCGTCAGCCATATGCTAGGCTGTTGGTAAGCCGACTATGCATCCCATTGAGTCTATCTGCTCCTGTCGACGATGGCCTGCACACGAGAGCATGGCACAGTAGGATCCCTCTCGACTTTAGCCGGGTTTGAGTACACTGTTGCCAGTCGCTGAGGGTTGTATGCTCCACCCGCATTCTGAGGAGCCTCTCGGCGTTGCACTGATACATACACTGTACGCTCGTCTGTTGGTAATCTGTGTCTGCAAATCATTCAATCAACATACCCCTGTTGGATAACCTGCTTGGCCCAAGCCCTTAGCGCAAATATTCACCCCTCTCCGACGCCCGGCTATGATAAAACGGACAGTTGTCGCCACACCATATTGGCCATTTCAGTAGCTTCTTCGCATTTGTTCATTCCCCACTTGACCTCTCCTTGCCCACCATGTCTGTCAAGTATGACCTCGCATCACTATCGTATTGTTCGGGTTGTTGTACTAAAATAACATTGTGTTCTTTACCCTTACTGTCTAAAATCCGGAGAGGAACGGAGGCGTGTCTTGTAGATATTCACGCTTTTCTGGCAATGAAGTTGCATGGGAACGGTTTGGGGCAGCTGTGGCCCATGTGGCGTGAGGCTAGCTTGACAGCAGTCGAGAAGAAAAATGGTCACTTACGAGGTTACACCGTGCGTCCATCCCGGATTCGGGTCAATCGAGGTTCCAGCAGCATCCTTCGCTTTCTCGATCGAAAATGACGCCAAAATTTGGGCGATAGCAATCCACACTGATCCGAGCGCGAGGTGACGGCCAGGGCAGATGCGGCGGCCAAAGCCAAACACAAAATACGGTGTATCGTGAACGAGATTACCGTTTGAGTCAAGGAATCGTTCTGGGCTGAATGTGTCCGGGGATGAATATTTGAGCGGGTCGCGAGCCATGGCCCTACGAGGCCGTTAGCTGGAAGAATTGTGAGTAACTAGACTTATACGTACCAGAGGTTAGGGATGATAACGGCTCCTAGAAAATGTGTTAATTGACCTTAAAGGTGTAGATCATGAGACTAACTTTTCGGAATCATAAAACCGTCATAAACATCATCGCTTGCTGCAGCGTGAGGTATGCCTACAATACCGTCAGTGTCAGCTCGTGAAAGATAACGCGAGATTCTGATATATAACCTTACCCAAAGGCACAACAGGTTTCCACCTCAAAATCTCGCGGAGCACGGCTTCAATGTATGGTAAAGCTGGCCTATCCCTAAAGTCGGGAAGACGTTCCGTCCCGACAACTGCCTCTATCTCTTCTCGTGCACGAGCTTGAACGTCTGGATAGAGAACCATGGCCAACGTGAATACCATCAGAGTTGAGGCAGTCTAGTGTGCCACAGTGAGTCAGCTCAAGTGAGCATCGGTATGGTTTGACTGACCGTCTCTCCTCCAGCTAGTATCAGAGTGAAAAGCATTGATATGTATGAACATGAAGAGCGTAAAATAGCTCACCCGCTAATGCCGTAGCGCAAGAATCTTTGATGGTTCGCTCGGCGTCGTTTACTTCAGCCGTGTATCCGAATTTTGTCAAAGCATCAGACACAATGCATGGGCCTGCTTCTCCGGACGCCTTGAATATAGTTGTGATTGTATTGAAAGAGAGCACAAACGCGATCATGATACACACCATTTTATGGACCACCGCATTGAAAGGGATGTGGATAAGATTATACATGTGCTTTCGAGAGTTTGCGGCGTTAATCCACTGCCCACCCCTAATCCATGTGGGGATATACTTCACTAGAGATCATCGCGGGGTTGAGAGTATGGTCAGCGCATGGAGAGATCAACGCGATAATAAACGTACGGAACGGGAACGCTGTAGCAAGTGCCATCAAGCCTGGAGAAGCAACAATGACACCGAGCTCAATTCCCTTCGCGGCCGTTTTGTAGATCAAGTCATTTTCGGGGTCTGATGGCATCTCATGACCGTATAATGCTCCTGAAATCACGAAAATAGAGAAACTAAACACACGAATCAGTACCGATCGCGTCAAAACTCTGAGTATTACTAGATCGAACCCACACTTGAAGATGCTTCCACCAGAGTCCAGGCGCATCTACCAGACCATCCAAGAGCCTAGAAGTGCAACGAAGCTGTATCGGGTGATATGACGCTACAGCCTCAGGTCGTAAAGATTGCTGCAAAACGCGTCGGTGACCTCTCCAGACGCTGTCGTGGTTTAAAAGGGCGGTATCGAAGGCATGCCCGTAACTAACGCTGTGTTAGCGCCTGACGCTAGCTTGTTCTATGACCTAGGAGTACCCACGTCTCTAGTATTTTGGACATGTTCATTCTGTCCGAATAGTTGCGAGAGCGTTTGTCGAGCAAGTCTTCGGCTTTCTTCTCAGTGTTGATAACAATTATGTCTCGGCCAAGAACTCGAGTATACACGATGTCACCTGGCCAACACGTTTAGCAAACGTATAAATCGTTACTACAAGTGGTACCGTATACACCCCTCCAATCAGCAAAGGTGACCCATGGATGAGCTGGGTCAATTTGATGCGCGTTGCCTATAAGTTGGAGGGGTGGTGGCCCGGGCGGCAAACAACTTGAAGATTTTTGCAGATTACGTCGAAGTCGGATCGTAGCAACCACAAGAGCGGCTATGACTAGAGCGGCGGAGGTCAATATCGCGCTGTGCATGGGCCTGAGAGGTATAACGATGCACACGATGCCAGAGCGGCCTCTGGAGTCCTCTTATCAGTGTATAGCATGAGCGCCTGTGCGCACGGTCTGCCATGCCATGTGAACACAAAATTTACATCGACAAGCGGTGGCAAATGAAAATTACTCCACCCCTTCGTTTGCCCACATGGTAAAGAACATCTTATTTGCGGTCAGGTCAAGGTCAGGTGTGCATATGATGTCATAGCCTATAACTTGGCGGGGAATAACCAGGGAATAACGGTAGTACACGAGCGTGAAATCACAAAGATCGCGGAACAATATTACAAGAGAACGATCTTGGCGCCCTAGTCAAGCTTAGCAGGATTATATCAAAGCTTCACGTACGCCACTTACGAAGTCAGCCCATGCACCCATTCTGGCTCGGGCTCAATAGGTCTACCCTCCGCGTCTTTATCTTTCTCGATGTTGAACTCAGCGAGGATACAGGCAATCGCCACCCATATAGACGCCCTTGCGAGATACCTCCCTGGACAAACACGTCGCCCGAAGCCAAATACGAAGTCAACTTCATCCCTAGTCAGGTTGCCTTCATCATCGAGGAAACGCTCGGGCTTGAATTCAGAGGGCGAGGGGTACTTCTCGGGGTTCCGCGTCATGGCCCTTATAGAGACTTGTCACAAGATCATATCTAAGATTAGACAAGGAACTTACCAGACGTTAGGTACAATCACTGAACCTGTTTTAAGCACGCCGTCAGAAACGGCCATCACGAACTGTTGACATGTGGAAACGATACCTTTAGGTATGTGATACCCGCGGTATACGTCCTCGCCGGACGCTGCATGGGGAAGACCTTTAATGTCATGATCAGACCCGAGAACGATTCGTACTTTATATAACTGACCTTGGGGAACTACTGTATACCACCTCAACGTCTCGCGTAATACCGCCTCGACGTAGGGCAGGCCCGCCCAGTCATCGAAATTTGGAAGACGTCCAGTGCCGATAAAAGTGTCGATTTCACTCTGTGCACGTTTTTGGACGTGAGGGGATAGGACCATGGCGAGGATGAATATCATCAATGTGGAACCGGTCTGCGTCGGTTGTTTAAGTGGATGTTAGTGGATGATACATACGGGCAATGACAGACGCTCACGGTCTCTTCTCCAGCTGTGGTGGAAGGAGTGTAAGGACAAATAGCCCTATAGTACATACCGCTTACCAGCGTAAGCAGATCCAAACGCGTCTCGGAGGGTTTTATCGAAGTCTTTGTCAATCTGATCATCATAGCGCTCCAATGCGTCCGCAACCAGGCAACGGCTGGCACCTCCACCTGCCTGGAAGAGACTGAGGCTCATACAAGCATACACATTTGTGAGGGCGCACATACAACTTTGCTCTTGATTTCATTATACGGCAAATCTAGCATAGTCTCCTGTTGTTTTCGGCAGAATGCAGAATTAAACTGCCCACCGAGGAACCAGCTAGGAATATATCGGACTAAGAGTACGTAATTACTAAACATGCATAGTGACAGGGAACAGAAATGAAGGCTTACGGAAGGGAAATATACTCAGGCAAAGAATCTTCCCTGGGGCCAGCAGAAAAATGCTTAGGTCATTGGCATCGGATATTTCCTTCAGAACGGGATCGTCTTCATCATTTTCACTGACGCTGTGGTCGTACACAACTTCCAAGATTGTCGTTCCGGAGAATCTTCATCATAGCCGTCGTCAGGATACACCTATGCCTGGTTGATATAAGACGTACCTCTTAAAGTGATGCCAATACTGACTCGGAGACTCTCTCAGGCTTTTGATGAGATCGTGCGTGCGCCGAAGCTGGACAGGGCGGTACACCTCGACGGGCTCTCGTCGAAGACCTTGCTGGACTACCCGTCTATGGGCTCGCCATGTGTCGTTATGCCTGCTCTGGCCGGTGTGGTATCCCAGTCCGTAGCTATGACCGTCAGCGTGAAAAGAAACGAGGACGTGTCAATCGGTGAGCAGAGGTAATATGGACGAACCCAGGACGCACTATTTGGCCAGGACGGAAGTATCCATCCTATCAGAGTAGTTTCCAGAACGCTTATCAAACAAATCTTCCGCCGCCTTCTCGGTGTTTACGACAAACACGTCCTGACCGAATATTGGACAGTACACAATGTCACCTGAACGATGCATGGGTGATCAGCGCCGAACGATGATAACAGACCATTATTTGTATTCTCACCGTAAACTTCTTTCCATTCGCTAAATGTTAGCCAAGGTTGCTGCGTGTCGATCTGTAGCGCGCATCCTAGAACCGGGAGGGGTGTAGGGCCTGGCGGGCAGCTTTTCGAGCGCGGTTGACGATATATCCTGGCAACGGCAGCCACAGCCGCGGCCACGGCGGCAGCGTTGGCCAACAAGAAGAATGGCGAAGTTGTGCCAGGATCCATCTGGTCCGTCCAGAAGATAAGAATCAGGCTTCTTTAACAACCAATAATTGACTTTGGTGGCACAATCCTTGGGCCAATGAACGATGAGCAACCTGACAACTATGAGAAATCCGATAATTCCTACGACAACACGAGGACAAACCATAGCCTTAGTTGGGGTGCTAACATCAAAGTTTGGAGCACACTGGGCCGGTCTGTACCCTCCAGAGAGCTCCAAGCCTAGAATAATCTGACGCGGATCGTAACAGAAAGATCTCATTGACATCAGTCATCCATGATTGAATTAATGTTGATTGGAACTGCGCACCTTGCGCAATGTCTAACCGAACAAGGAACTTACACTCCAGGGACCTTTACAGGTACAGGCATTCAGCGCAGTGAGGAACCCTGAGAAAAAGAAGCCAGACGTACTTAGAAACAATGTCTCCGCAGCATGGATACATACTGCCCAAAAATCACGGGCAGGCGTCGGCGATACTCAGGGACCAAAGACCGTTGGTCGCGTTTTCTCTGTCTTGGCTGTCGTGCACAATAACTACGGCGAATTAGAAAGCAGCCTTGATGGTAATCAAAGGGGTGGCAGCAGAAACACGATGCTTAAACCTACATTTTAATGGACAACACCTCGGAGATCACTGGGACGGTCATATCTTTACCCGCTACACGCATGCCTTGTTGTGACAACATGTCCGCAGGTATCATATTATTGGAATCGTACAGCGGAGGCTGTATAACCGCGAATCAACACCTCTCAATCAAACCTTGTACCGCGTAAGCGTATTCTGAGTGTGAACATACGCTACATGTCGGAGAAGCATACTATCAATGTGGGATGAGGCTAACGCGTCGAACTACTGATGTTCCATCTGGTATAGGCTGATAGCTGCGGAGTCCAAGGTCAATCCCAGCGCATCCGCCAATTGCTGTGCATCGTAGGGGCATCTCCGAAGCTGGTGTAGAGAATGAAGAGCGAGACAAAGGGTTGTTGTATGGTGAATGCGGTGAGGGGTGCCGGTGATCAGTGTGTCGAAAAGAGACTGGTGCAAAGACGCGTCTGTGTCAGGATGCGCGGCTCGGGAATCGCCGGACACTTGGGACAAATGCTGTTATAACCTTCGAGAATATCATTTCAGAAATCTATCGAAAAGCAAAAGTTCGCTAATCAAATTTTACAGGGAAACAAAATTCATACATGATGCGTAAATATACTACATAGCGCTGGTTATGAATGATGATGGCATGGAGTTCACATCTTTGGATCAGTCATACTTCAGGTTAAGATGTTCTCATTGGTGATGCAGCTCTATCGCGTTCTGCGAACAAATTCGCAAGGGAATGGTTTCGGTGACCTGCACAAAAAGCCAGGAAGGTAGTTATACCTATCCATCATCACAAATGTCATCGATTCACTTACGATATTACGCCATGTGTCCACTCGGGATTTGGTTCAATAATATTCCCCGAAGCATCCTTCGCTTTTTTAATGGAGAAATTCGCAAGCGTTTGAGCCATTGCCATCCACACGGATCCCCTCGCTAGGTGCCGGCCTGGACAAATGCGTCTTCCAAAGCCGAACGCATAGTTGGGCATGTTGTCTGTCACGTTTCCATCCGAATCCAAGAAGCGTTCGGGGTCAAACTTATCGGGAAATTGGTACTTAGTAGAGTCCCGAGACATTGCCCTACAAACTTATAAGTATGTAGCTTCGCCAATAGTTGAGCTCAACGGACCAGACATTAGGCACAATGGCAGCGCCTGCTTCCAAAAGTAAGCAGTGACTTGATTCCGGAATAAGGCTTACCCTTGGGAATAAGATACTCCTCGTAGATATCCTCATTTGCGGCCACATGTGGTATGGCTATTGATAAACCAGCTCAATATCACATAGCAATCACTATTTTTGTACGCACATATTGGTAAGACAGGATACCACCTCATTGTCTCACGGAATACCGCTTCGACGTAAGGTAAAGCAGGCCTGTCGTTGAATTCTGGGAGGCGGTCGGTGCCTAAAGTCGAGTCTATTTCATCTTGAGCTCGCTTCTGAACGCTTGGGTGGAGAGCCATGGCCAACGTAAACACAATCAATGTAGATCCGGTCTAAGACATGGGATGATATCAGCTTAGATGAAAACACCTAATCTCTCTCGAAGCTGACCGTTTCTTCTCCAGCTATAATAGAACATCTCAATGTGCGTCAGAGTACAGTCGATACCAAATGACTTACCTGCGTACGCCGTCCCACATGAGTCTTTTATAGTTTGTTCGATGTTATACACTTTGTTTGTGTCCTGGAACTTCTCCAAGGCTTCTGCTACAACGCACGGCCCTGCTGTTCCCGCTGACTCGATGGCCGTAAGATGTATATTGCAGCAGCTAATTATATTGCGTAACACTCACTATATTTTCCAGGAGCTCGCAAAAGGGCATGTTAATCATCTTGTCCATCATTAGTTTACAGCGAGCGGCGTTAAGCCACTGTCCTCCCGGCATCCATGTTGGCAGGTATTTTACTGTGCGAACCAGTGACAGAACACTCAGTCGGCTTGATCTCATGACCGATACAGATAAAATAAACATAAACATACGAAATGGGAAGGCCAATGTAAGTGCGGTGACCTTAGCTGAAGAGGTGAAAACGGCGAGCTCAATTCCGTCCGCAATAGATCGGTATATGGCGTCATCTTCAAACTTTTCTGGGAGCTTGTGGTCATACATGACTCCCATGATGACTGCAGCAGAGAATCTGAATGGCGAAGGTCAGCAGATATAGAACATGTTTGTGAAACATTAGAACTAAAATAAACAGACTTCCGAAAGTGCTCCGACCATGTAGAAGGCATTCCCGTCAAGTCCTGTAGCAATTTGGCCGCGCATTGCAGCTGCGTTGACTGGTAAGTGACGACTGTTAGAGTATGAACCTGCACTCTTGATACACGGTCAGATAGCCTAGTGGTAAGGCAACTCAGTACTAGTGGGAGGACCCGGGTTCGATTCCCGGTCAGACCAGACTTTGCGTAAATCTTAATAGGTTATGAGCCCCGGTTAGCGCAAGGCCAGTGAACACCATCTAGATGATGTATCCACTAGAGAACCACCAGAGTGATGAATCCATTAGGAGCCACCTGTGTGATGAATCCACTTGTGAACCATCAGATGAGTATGAATCCAGAGCCTGGCACTGGTTGCCCCCTGTTAGCGCAGGCCTGTGAACACCATTAGATGATGAATCCACAGTGAACCACCAGAGTGATGAATCCATTTGGAACCACCTGAGTGATGTATCCATTTGAGAACCATCAATGAGTATGTATCCAGAGGCCGGTCTGGTTCCCTAATGAACTGCCTAGAGTGCAGATTCAGGGGGAGTGTTAGAGTATGAACCTGCACTCTTGATACACGGTCAGATAGCCTAGTGGTAAGGCAACTCAGTACTAGTGGGAGGACCCGGGTTCGATTCCCGGTCAGACCAGACTTTGCGTAAATCTTAATAACGACCACTTCAGCGCGAAGTGTTTGCTGAAGTATGCGTCGGTGACCGCGCCACGTCACGTCAGGGTTGATAAAAGCGGTGTCGAAGTCGAGACCATATCTGATGAGCGGACACATAAGCGGCCTCATAAGAAGTTGTATGCAGGTCCCCATATTTAGAAACTCACGGCTCCAGCACACTGCTCAACATATCCACTCTATTGGAATAGTTTCGGGAGCGCTTTTCCATCAAATCGTCAGCTACCTTCTCTGAGTTGACAATCACTACATCTTGTCCAAGCAACCTGCAATATACTAAGTCACCTTTCCGAGATACAGGCTCAGCATACAATAAATTTGACAGTGTGAGAAGTTACCGTAAGAAGTCCTCCATTCAGAGAACGTAAGCCAGGGATACGACGGGTTGACTTGAAGCGTGTTCCCTATGAGTGGGAGCGGCGGCGGCCCTGGGGGAACATTGCTTCTACGAAGCCGGCGCCGAATTTGAATGGTGGAGACTACAATCGCACCTAATATCACAGTAGAGACTAAGAGGATGGGGTGCATGGCAGATGAGTGCTGAAGGACGCGGTTTTTGACGGAACTTACAGTTATTTTATACGTCAAGCGCAACAAACGTTAGTCAGGCTGACACTTGACCGCTGAGAGAAGCCTTCTGCATCCTTATCATGCAGGAAATAAGATTCTCATGAGAGAAGTTCAATGTTGGAGCTATCTAAACATATAAGCAAGGTTTGACGAAAGTGGGCTCGGTTGAAGTAGGCAACGGACATGAAACACCTTTATCTACGCCAGTGTACACCTTCACCTATTTTCTTCGTCGACGGTCTAACTTGAAGTGGATAACGCAGAATATGTGGTAACCGGACGTGACTGAGAACGAAACTGGCTTGCGTGGTGGGCGTGATGGTGGAGCGGCGGTGCGAAAAAGAAATCAGAAGGAACGCGTCCGTCGACAACTGGCGGTTTGCGCACGGCGGGCAGTCACGACGCCGGACCAAAGAGATACAACGACTATCGTTCAAACTATATTGTTTTCAGTGCTTTTTTGGTGCTCTCTAGGTGAAATAATAAATCCCGGATGGACCATAATAATGGTAGCGGATGTTATCAAATTGTTCGGAAATATACAATCAGCCGATCACGATCAGGCCACACGTCGCAAACTACGTCGGCTACTTAGTCGTATTACACCTCGCACAACAATACTGATACACGATGTGGTAAAATACTAGCGTACCAAAAGGATGATGTTTTGATTCACGTCTACGGATTGGCCACGCACAATGTGGATGTACCTTGTGGATGCGGGTCTAAAGCCGTCTGGGAACAAAATTGCAGGGGAACTGTAACGGGTACCTGCACAAAGATGGCGAATGTGAACACATATCCAATGACGGAAAAGTCGTTGGTCCACTTACGAGGTAGCACCTGTTGCCCACTCAGGATTTGGCTCGACTGTATTCCCTGACGTGTCCTTGGCTTTTTCAATGGAAAACGATGCCAGGATTTGTGCCATAGCAATCCACACTGATCCGCTCGCTAAATGCCTGCCAGGACAGATGCGTCGACCGAAGCCAAACGCAAAGTTCGGCGTATCTCCTGTTATGTTCTCATCCGCATCAAGGAAACGTTCCGGGTCAAAGACGTCAGGGAAAGGATATTTGGTAGAGTCACGAGACATCGCCCTGGATTTTGTTCAGCGCAGAGCGTTACTGCAGAGAAAATACTATACATACCATAGATTAGGCAAGATAACAGTTCCTGTGGAAGTATACGAGTAAGTCCACACCGTATCACTGATTGACAATGCTTACCTTTGGGAATGAGATAACCGTCATAGATATCCTCGTTTGCGGCGGCATGAGGAATAGCTACATATTCAGTTAGCACGATCCTTCACGTAGCGAGTTATGCCGTCGCACATACCTAGCGGAACAACTGGCTTCCACCTCAGCGTCTCACGAAACACCGCCTCAACATAAGGCAAAGAAGGCCTGTCATTAAGATCCGGAAGACGATCGGCGCCTACGATCCTATCTATTTCAGCCTGAGCTCGCTTCTGGACGCTCGGGTAAAGCACCATGGCCAACGTGAACACGATTAGAGTCGAGCCGGTCTAAGATGCGAAGTGTTGTCAAACAGTTAGTATAAAGTCACTGGATGTATTTGACCACGAACCGTTTCTTCCCCGGCTGATGACACGATGGTGTAAGCTAGCAAAAACAAATAAATGAGAAACTAGACTCACCAGCATATGCTGTTCCGCAGGAGTTTCTTATAGATCGTTCAATATTTTCTACTTTAGTTGTGTCCTTAAATTTTTCCAACGCGTCGGCTACAACACAATGCCCCGCTTCCCCAGCTGCCTTGAAGGCCATGATGCATCGTATACGAGAATCATGGCTAGAACTCACCATCTTCTTCAGTAGCTCCTCAAAGGGTGCATTTATCATCTCATCCATTAATCGCTTGCAGTTAGCAGCGTTGGCCCACCGGGGCCCGGGAATCCACGTTGGCAGGTATTTCACTTATCGGAGTAGAAACAGTGTCAAAATCTAGGTTTTATATCGTATAACGAAGAAGAGCTCACATATCGGGAGCGCTGATATCAGCGCGATGGGACCCGCTGAGGAAAGTTCAAGCGCAAGTTCCATTCCGTCCACAACAGCTCGGAGTATGTGGTCGTTCTCAGGATCCTTAGACAGCTCGTGGTCGTAAGTCGCCCCCAAAATGACCGCAGCAGAAAACCTGATCAGGAACAAGTCGGTGGATCAATAAACACTTCATGAAAGCACAGATAGCTATAGATGGACAAACGTTCGAAGATGCTTCCACCAAGACGCAGGTGTACATGTCAAGTTTTGTAGTAAATCGACTGCACAGCGGAGCTGCGTTGATTGGTATACGCCAATCACTTCAGGACGCAATGTTTGCTGAAGAACGCGCCGATGTCCGCGCCACGTAACGTCGTGTTGAATAAGAGCTGTGTCGAAATCAAGACCATACCTAAGAAACGGACGTCAAGTCAAGTTTATAAGGAGCTTCGTGCACCTCGAGAACTGGTCGATACTCACGGTTTCAACATCTTTGACATGTCCATTCTGTCAGAGTAGTTGAGAGAGCGTTTATCCATCAAGTTATCAGCGACCTTCTCTGAGTTGACGATCAGCATGTCTTGGCCAAGTACGCTGCAATATATGAGATCGCCTGGGCGAGATCCGGATCAACACACTATTGGTTAGATAGGGACGGAGCGTACCGTAGGCAGCCCTCCACTCGGTAAAAGTAAGCCATGGATGCGCTGGGTCGACTTGGTGTGTATTGCCTATGAGCGGGAGAGGAAGTGGCCCTGGCGGCAAGCCCTTGGACCTTTCACGAAGCTTGAGCCATGCTCGGATGGTGACGATTACGACAGCACCTATTATCACTGCAGAGGCTGAAACGAGGGAGTACATAGTCAACGGGTTGAGCAGCGCAATGTCTGGCGGAAGTACTTGTATGAGTGAAACACACCCAGCCTTCGTAAGGTTAGGTCGTCGGCTGATTGAGAGAAGACATCGGAAGAACATCCTGACACACTGGTAAGAAAATCTTGAATAAGGAGCCGGTCCGCGTACCGTGCGTTAGCACCTGTTCAGAGTTCACATCAGAAGGTTATCACAAATTTGTGGGTAATCAGGTACCGGTGTCTTGAGAATGTCAGAGTTTGCCGCATCCGCGAGGGTTATCAGTTTCCGCGTTTGCTCCAGGCGTTTCATGACCCTTTTAGATCTCCTGCAACCTTGCATCGCTGGATGTCAGCACCTGAATCTCCGCTAGCCAAGACTATGAGGCTCACAATACCTCCAAGCACTCGTAATCGCTGACGCAAGAGTTTCGCTATTCATTGAATGCGCAGCAATGATAACATATTCCGAGTCTTCCTGGTCTTCCACAATCAGCGATCCGTAAGCGGGAGCCCCAATTTGAGATCTAAGCAACACCATTTGAATACTGATGCGTTCTGAACGGAGCTTCTGGATGTACAGAAGCTCATCGCATGCAGAAGATTGTGTGCTACGTGGGATCGTTGCCGGGTATGTGCAAACCACACACTGCGTCCGTCTCCTTCGATTGGTGGAGAACTTGTAGAGGACAGATGACTGTTCGGTGGCGACAAGTGCGTGCTATCTTGAGTTCATTCTTGTCTTGGGTGAAACTCGCCATGCGGTATTGTTCCGGCTGGAGGATAGCGCGCTAAAAGCGTCAACATTTGGCCGGCGGCCGGCGTTTACGTATTTAGGGCAGGCCAGAACACAGCCACAGAGGATCTAAAGTCAGAGGCTAGGACGACCGGTACTGAAGTACTGAATACCGAGAGTGAACCTCTTCGACAAGCGGTGTACTCACGACAAACACATAAAAAAACCCGGTCCTGTGCCTCCGGGAAATCAGACCAAACTGCACAGCTGATACACTAATCTCTGCACTTGTATATTATGATGTCAATGTGTATGTACTTGTACTGTACAGTACGTTGCTGGGTATCACAAAACATCCATGGGTTCTACAATCCAATCCCAGTACAATGCTATTACCTTCCGTTACCCTTTTCCCCCAAAGTCCGCGCTAGCGATGAGCCCGAATCCCTCAATGTCTATCCGCCCTGAAGATGGCTTCAAGATCCAGATCTACTGCGGCCCCGGCCCCCTTCCGCGCCCGATTCCCATACCCACACGCACAAGCGTCTCAAGACACGCCCGCCCGTTGATCAACAGATCCTCGTCCCACTCGACCGCACCAGGCTCAAACAGCACGACCACTGTCGACCCTCCAAACGCAAAGTACCCGAGCTCATCTTTGCGCCTGAGCGTCTTGCCCTCCTCGGCCGTGATGAGAATGCTCCCGACCATCATCGCGCCGACGCACACGGCCATGACGCGCCCGAACTGCGGACTGTCGATGGGCACGACCTTGCGCGCATTCTCGCCGTACACGTCCAGTGCGCTCCGAATCGCTTGGGGCTATACCATACCATTGTCAGCCTATCACAGCAAAAGAAAGCGGGGAGAGGGGACAAACATTGACAGTGTAATACTCCCCAGCGACATAAGTCATCGGGCCCACAGTCCCGTCCACGGGCGAGTGGAACCGATGGTAGTCCTGTGGCGCGAGCCGGAAGATGGCGAGTGCGCCGCCGTTGAAGCGCTCCGCCTCGTCGCGGTACGCGTCGCCGAGCAGCCGCGCGACGGTGAACTCGCGGCCCTTGATCCAGAGGCGTGTCGCTTCTGAGACAGACTCGAAGACCATCAGACGGCAGTCGGCCGCGCTCACGAGGCGGTAGGGGTCTTCTGGGCTCTCGAGGGGGCGTGCTTCTGGTTTGAGTTTCCTAAGCGCGAGTGAGTCAACATGAACATTCGAGGCTTGTGAGCGAAGATAGATAACTTACCGGTAGAAGAACTGATTAAACGTCTTGAACGAACTAATGGGCTCCAGCACATCATCGACATTGAGCTTGTGGAACGCAATAAACGCCGGAATATCGCGTGCCGACTCTGGCGAGTCGAACTTGAGCCCCTGCTTGATCGACATGGACTTGAGAAGTTTCCGCGCCCGTGCGCCTTCCATCCTGCTTCGTGCACCCTGAAATTACCATGAGCAGACCAGCCCGTCGTACACACATAACCGAGTTTCCACGCACCTTGTACAACAGCCGAATACCCAGCCGCACATACACCTGCATCTTCTCCTCCTCCAACTGTCCCGTAATCCGGTTCTGTACAATAATATTCGCCGAATTCTAAGGCCCCCCCAAAAAACCATTAGCATGGCTCATTTTAAACCTCCCAGCAACACAAACACAACACTCACCGCCCCAATCTTATAATTCCCGCTCGACACCTTACTAATCACCTTCGTGTACCACTTGCGCTGCGCCTGGCTCGCCGTCACAAAGTTGCTCACCACGATCCTATCCACCTTGGCCCAGTCCTGCGACGCGCAGATCGCGAGGTGCGTCACGATGTCCACCTCCGCCTTCGAGTTCAGCCGCGGGCGGTGGCACAAGGGACAGTTCTTCACGTTGATCACGCGCTCGAACGTGTGTTCTTCCGGCGAGGGCGAGGAGGCTGTGGTGAGTGAGAAGCCACTGCCGCTGCCGCTGCCATTGCCGTTGCCGTTGGTGCCCATGGAGGGTGTAGAGGAGCCGAGGATGCCGCCGGCGCTGGATGCGCGTAGCATGGGCCCGGCGCCGACAGGGTTAAACCCGCCCTGAGCGAGGATGTCGTCCGTATCAGAAGACGAATAGGACGGCTGCCTGCTCGGGTCGGACGCCGACCCCGACACCGACCCCGACCCAGAGCCCGATCCCGATCCCGAGCCTGACGAGCCCTGATGATGCGGAAGCGTACGAAACGTGTACGAGCTCGGCGCACGCGAGGCATACGTCGCCGGCTCCGCAACATGCGCGAGCGGCCTCTCCGCCCCATCCGTAACATGCGGCGCAGGCGGCAGCGGCAACGACGCGCCGTCCACCGGCGAACTCCCGCTCTCCTCCCCACCACCACCACCACCCAAGTCCGAAACGAGCGCCCCAAACGGCGGCCCCGCAAAGTTTAGCGCCCCAAGCTGCGGCGGCGCCCCGCCGTGCCGCGGCGTGCGCCTCCCCGAACTCGAGCTGTACCCATTCGAATACGCCCCGCTCCCGCTCCCATTCGCATCAAACGCACACCCCATCTCCCCCTCCCCCTCGCTCCAAAAAAAACGGCGTCGCAGTCCCGCTCTCGCCCCCATACGGATAACACGCATTCCCCCCGTCCTCGCCCTGCGCATCCACAACCAGCCTCCTCCGCTCGCCCAGCGGCCGCCCGATCTCGATCTCGAGCGCCTGCACCGTCTCCGCGAGGGACAGCTCGTCCTCGTACGGGCGCTTGCCCACGCGCGTGAAGAACGCCTCGACGGTGCGCGCGGACAGCGTGCTGCCGAGCGAGTCGAGCATCGCGGTCAGCTCGACGTGCGACATCGAGCCCGAGTCGTCTGCGTCGTACTGCTTCAGGTACTGCGCCCAGAAGCGCTGGCGCAGCGCGGCGTACGGCTGGAACTTTGCGCTGTGCGTGTGTATCCAGTTAGCTCAGTTCAGTTCAGTTTCGTTTGTAGACAGGATGGAAGGTGGGTGGGTGGGGCAGGGACAACGCACCGAATCGTCAACGCCGGCCGATGCTTCCCCTCCCACCCCATCTCCCGCCCCGCACCCGTCAAAGACAATGTATACTCCCTCATCTCACTCGTCACCTCTCCCATACCCCCTCCTCCCCCTCCCCCTCCCCCTCCTCCACTCCCACTCTGCCCCCCCTCAAACTCATACAACCCCGTCCCCGCATCCGGCTGCGCCGCCCCCCGCACCAGCTCACCCACATCCAGCGCCGCCTCGCCGACATAGTCGTTCGACGACAGCTTGTCCCAGTCGAGCACCGTCAGCTGCACCTTGAAGCTCGTCTCGTATCTTCGCACGTGGAACAGCAGCTTCTCGTCCCAGCACGGGTTGAGCGAGTGGCGGATGACGCGTGTCCGGAACACCTTTTTGCCAAAGGAGACGACGACGAAGGGGTCCATGTCGAAGCCTGTGCGCGTCACTGCGCGTTGGGAGCGTTAGCAGCGAGAAGCGTGCGTGGCGCAGCGAGAAAAGACGGGGAAAGGCGATAGAAACAGGAACAGGAAAACAACGTACTGTTCTTCAACCGCGGCAGATCCTTCGCACCCGCAATCTCGAGCATCACAATCCCCACAATATCGTTACTCGCAGCCGAAAAATTATAGTCCGCGCGCTTCGCCGCGCCCCACGACTTTCTGAACTTCCTCTTCTGCTGCTGCTGCTGCTGCTGCTGAGCCTGAGCCTGAGCCTGTTGAGCCTGCGTTTGCACCTGCTGAGCATGCGCATTCTGAATCTGCGCCTGCACCTGCTGCTGCTGCTGCGCCTGCGACCCGCCCACCGCAGGCACCGTCGCCACAGCCGCACCCGCGCTCGCCGAGCGCACATGGCCCGGCCTCTTCCGCGCCGACACCGGCGTCGGCGCCGTCGGTGTAGTCGGCGACTGTACTCCAGGCGTAACACCGCCCGGCGACGGCAGTGGCGACGGAGCCTCAGACACAGCAGCGGAATTCGACGCGCTCGATACCGCCGAAGCCGACGCCGATCCAGACGCGGACGTAGACCCCGAGCGCGCCCCCGCCCCGTCGTCCGACGTCCGCCGCCGTGTCATCGCAGGGCGCCGCGGGAAGAACTTTTTCGGGAGCTTGCTCGTGCGGCCCATGACCTGCGTCGGCGTTGCGAGTGCCGTGCTGCCCGTCCCAGGGCTCGCGCTGTTGCTGGGCGTAGCAGGCGTAATCTCGATCGCCGCGCGCGGAATCTCCAGGCGCGCAGGCACAGGCGCGTGCGGGGGCATGCTGTGCGTGAACATCAACCCCGAGTGCGCCGAGCCCGGCGACACGGCGGGTGGCAGAGGCGTGAGCGGCGTGGGCGTGGGCGGGGCGGACTCGGGCGTGGTGAGGTCGACGACGTTGATATCCTGCGGGCTGTAGTCCTCGTCGGCGTCGGCGTCAGACGTGTCGTCCGGCTCGCCTTCGTCTGACGAGATTCCGCCGTCGTCCTCGAACGCGGGGCCGGAGAGATGCGAGCGGAGGGTGCCTATGCCTTCCGTCTATAAACCAAACCACACGTAGTCGGCGTATAAGTATCGGTGTATGCGCATACAGACTAAGGATGAGCGACGTACGGGCGGCGCGGAGACGAGGCTGGGCCGCGAGCGCTTGACGAGGTCCGCAAAGATGGTGTCGTACGCGACGATCGCCTGCGGGCCGGGGACGGGGACGAAGCCGAGCTTGATCTGGACGCTGCCCGACACGTGCGCGCGCACGCGCGTCGAGACGAGCGGGGCTGACACGGGCTGGGGCAGCGAGCAGAAAGAGGAGCAGGAGAGGGAAAGAAAGACAGGTCTGAATCAAGGCTCGCGAAGAAACGCCACACTCACGATATTGTTCGGATCGTCAAACGCCAGCCCGCCGGGGCGGAACCAGTCTTCCATGGGCAGGGCGACCTCGCCGAGGTACTCCTTGGTGAACTTGTCCTTGTCCCAGACGACGAGCTCGAGGGCGCCGAGGCGGTCGGCGAGGGAGAGGAAGATGGGGATGTCGAAGGTCGCGTCGCGCGCGGCGTAGGACGGGGTCGTGCTCCGCTTTACGACGGGGGTGTGGTGGCGCGTGCTGAGGAGGGAGATGACGACGAAGCTGAACAGTGAAGTATTAACGCAGGTCAAGATAGTGGATGTATGCGAATGGAGAGACGACTCGTTAGCGAAGATAGAAGCAAGAAGTCAGGGACAACGCACGGATCGCACGTGCCGCTCTTGCCCTTGGGGGCGAGCTCGCTGCATCCGAGGACCTGCACACGGAGGATGACGACGGGCTGCTCGTTGGCGAGCGGACCATAGGAGCCCCTGCCGCTGCCGCGCCCGCCCGAGACGCGAGCAGGCAAGCGAGCTGCGGACTTGATTGCGCGGCTAATCTTGAGCGCTTTCTTTGGCACGGGTGCCATCGTGAAGGTGAACGCAAGGCGTCGGTTGAGGTGTTGGGTATACGGAGCTGAAAAGGAGAGTACAAGGGAAGGAGGGAGAAGTTAAAGGGAGAAAGGGAAAGAGCCACGCGATGATGCGGTGTGCTCGATGGGTTTGGCGTTTGACCTGGGCGCTCGATGCAACACAGCGCTGTTTTCTTGGCGAAATCCAATGCAGACAAGTCGACAAATCGAACACGTTTCACTGCACGGCGTCGCGGGGAGGATGGTGAGGACAGAGCGGGGTAGGGCAGGAACAGCCCCGAGAGATGGCCGAGGGCAGGTTAACTTCGTCTAATCGTGTCTACGTTATTCGTGGCACGCTCGGCCCCGACTGGAATACCCCCATCTAATTGTGCTCATACCCGCTTTACGTTGCCTCTCCGACGTGTCTTTCTCCGCCAATTCGAGTTCCTTTTCTCTGAAACTCTGGAGGTCGTCGATAAGTTCTCGTGTTTCATTACAGCAAGTATACTCGAGGGTGTTGAGGAACGTTCGAAAGACGTGGAATGGCTAAATTGCAGGCCGAGAACTGGCCGAGATCTACAATTGCGTCATCTCCCACCTAAATCCCATGTTCCTGCGATCACCAGCCTTTCTTACAGCCACCACCACACTGCCCTTCAAATTTAAAGTTCATACCGCCCACAAGATAATCTACCCCCTCGAAGCCCGAAGAGATGTAGGTTGATTGCCAGCATCTTGGCCAATACCACCCTCTTCCAATTACCCTTGTCTCTTCAGCCCTCGTACATGCACACTCTATCTTCTCAGAATCGGCGCAGCATATCCACGAACAGATTGCACGGCCGTCAGGGTCCGAAGCCTCGGGATGACCATCGCAATCCCGAACCACGGCTTGTTCAGCGCGTTTCAGTGACTCCGCAGCTTAGTACAGTATGTCTCCACTTCCATAAAACGCTCTTTGTTCATGCCATACCACGCTTCTCGCAGCTCGACTCTACTTATCCCAACCATGGCTACTGCTACCTGCCTCGCGAGTCTGCGAACGATCACAGACGAGGTACGCTCTTAGGTCGTTCTCTGCTTCGCGTCATGTTGAACCGTGTGTACAGCTCCCGAGACTTACTGCGAGCATTGAGGCCAGTTCAAACATAGCAAACACCCGCGCTGTTCTCTGACCCCCGCTCCAGACTCTGACCAGGCTTGAACCTACGAGTTACAGCCCACTCTCCCCCTCACACGTAGACGACATTCAATCTCTTGTCTCGAACATGGCGCTCGTACTGAGCGAGCTCGGAGCTATCTCATCGACCATACACCACATTCAAACCAGCATTCACGAATCCCACCGTGCCCACTCACGCATGGCGACCGCTCTTGCTCGCCTTCCGTTCGAGATCCTGGCGGAAATCTTCGAGCTCTCCCAGCTATCAACTCAGCAAAGCAGTCAAGAATTGTCCTTAGGTGTCAGCTTGTATCGCCCCCCGCGAGGACACTGCGGTATCGTCAACGTCGCGCAGGTGTGTCGCGACTGGCGGCAGGTCGCTCTAGCTACGCCGAGACTGTGGAATCGACTTGATATCATCACCGAGGCACCCCTCTCTTCGTCTGTTGTCCACGAGCGACTTCAGCTCCTCGAAAGGGCGAAGGGCTGCCCGCTTTTCTCCGCGTCGAACTGCGGCGGGGATGCCAGTGGACGGAGAACCCGAACAGTCATAATGTGCTTCCTACGCGAACCTTGCACCGCTTTCCGAACGTAATCGCCGTCGACGTTGAATCCCTCTCTCCCCGCATCCAACCCACCGACGTACCACCCTTCTTCGCCCTCTTCCCCAACCTCCGCCGCCTCTCCCTCGTCGGCTGCCCAATACCGCCACACGGCTCCGACCCCGCATTCGACGATACCCTCACCCGTCTCTCACACCTCCACATCCGCTTTGCGTCCACAGCCGACGTAGAGTCCTTCTTCGCCCCTTCTTCCGCTTCAAGTACGCGTCTGGGAACCCTCACGTCTCTCTTGCTCGAGGGCCCCTCCTCAGACGCCCACCCCCGCGCGTGTCTCCCCATTGATATTGTACTCCGCACCTGTCCGGGGCTCGAAGAACTCTGCATCGTTGCAGATGGCTTTGCGTTTAGCTGGCCGAGCGATCCGGGCTCGGGCTCAAGCTCGAGCTCGGGGTCGGGGTCGGGGTCATTGCCGTCGCTGTCGAGCCCCGGATCCTATACCCACAGCACCAACACGAGCACCCCAGCGCTCTCGCTCTCGCTCTCTCATCCGCACCTCCACACCCTCATCATCGCCGTATGCACATGCCCGAGTACAGAGCTCGACTGGCTCGCGCGCGCTTACCTCCCCGCGCTGAGCGAGCTGTGCGTGACCGCACTCGACCCCGATCGTGTGTGCGCGTGTGTGGGGCCGCTCGTGCGGCGGTCGGCCACGGGCGGCGTGCATATACGGACTTTGTCGGTTGTGTGTCTCGGCGGGGGAGTCTCGGAGCGGTGGCGGAGGGTGGAGAGGGAAATCGCGAGAGGGATGGGAGAGGGGGGTGAATGGGATTTAAATGTGGAGTTCAGGAGACACTGGAAGGAGACGGGGGTGTATAGGGGGATGGTGGACAGGTGGTATTGCTCTTCGTAGTAATTCTACGTTGCGCGTGTTGCATCTGAGGCAATATGTTATTACAGCAGTGCATATACCCGTCCTGAGCTCTACGGAAGAAACGAAGCGGGTAATGGTCCTAGACATATAGAGGTTTTAGGGGCTTGTGACGCTTCGAGCCTGCGGCCCGGCATATCCCGAATGGCCAGACCGACGCGTATTCACGTTGATCCTCCTTGCCTCTCAACGTACGCTCTTTGAGCTTGCTTTGATTTTTGAAGCGCATCACGCTCAATGGCGTTCCGGTTGTCGTCGATGAATCGTTTCAGTCATCTTTGTCGCAAAGCCCAGCCTCCGACTCAAGCGCTCACTCACCAGGGGTTTCTGCAAAGCTTGACTAGCCCGAGGACTCAATGCGCACTCGTACCGCGCGGCACCCTCTCTCGAGATCCAGGCGAGCTCTGCAGTCGCCATTTCTCACCATCTCGTGCGCGGCCCGTGGCTGTAGATATCAACCTACGCTGCGGACGCTCGGCGCGCGTATGTGTCGTGAGCTGGGTCGGCACTAGGTGTCCGTCCGAGGTACGTTGAACGTCTGCTCAGAATTAGTGAGATGACATGCTCACGTGCGTTCCCCGGCCTTGCTGACATCCTTCGCAGCTGTTTGAGATACCAGGACAGCTAATAGTGGCTTACTTTGAGTCACGAGTGGATCGTACTCGCAGAGACACGATCGATTGATTGTAGCGGGCCTCGTGCCGCTGGAGGGCCACCGCCGTGCCTAAGGCCTAAGACCTCCGAGTCCGAGGAGTAACCTTTTTGCCCGTTCTGCGCTCGGTTTGAGCACCGCAACCTTGACGCCCACATCCGCTGGCAATTAATGAGGCCTGAGGTTGGGGTTTCGTCTCAAGTAGCCGTGCCTATGACGCGAAGTACCGAAGCGTACGGCGCATGCGGCGCATACAGGTGCATACATTGGGAAGGTTGTGTCTGCGCAATAGGCAAGCCTCTTCTCCGCTTTGCGCCAGCTCTTTGCGCGCGGCTGATGCGAGATATCGACTTGTGGGGAACGCCTTTCGCCCTGGGTATGCCTGGCTTCTTTCTCCCAGGCGGAATCTCTCCGCAGAAGGTTGTGCTTATTATACGAACACCTGAAATGTCGAGTTGCTTATCTCCCCAGAGAATGTGGAAGGTTTGCCGTCCCACTCACTCTATCTGAATGCAATCATTGGTGGCTGATGTGGAACACCAATCGGATCTCTCGATTGTTGGATCAGGTAGTTGCACGGAGTCTGCCAGTGTCTTAAGATCGGGTTTTTCTCGCGCGAGTGAACGACGAAGGCTTTTGACATGGCTTCTCCTCTCTTTTTGTTGGCTGTCGCTGCCCCTATAGCTGGAGCTCTCATTGCTATCGCCAAGGCATACCGTAACGTCCGCTCGAAAGGCTGTCCTCCGGGCCCGAAACCCCTCCCGCTTCTAGGATGCGCACTACAGGTAGACGCTACGCAACCGTGGCTCACCTACACAGAATGGAAAGATACATATGGTACGACGACTACGAGACTGTCATGAATCCCATTTTGCGCTGACTGCATGAATCCCGGCCAGGTGATATCGTATACTGTCCAACGTTCGGTCAGGACACCATTGTCGTCAACTCCGAGGAAATGGCACAGGATCTGTTTGATAAGCGGTCCAGCAACTATTCCGATAGGATGGATGCTTCTATCTTGACCAAGTAGTGCGTTGCTTGTTCTACTATGCGACGAAGTGTGCTGACCGACTATGTTACCCATTCCCGCGCGATCCTTGCGACCCGCTCTACTCGCAGCTTTGGGATGGGTCATCACACCGCAATTATGAGGCACAACGACGTGTGGCGAGAGCATAGGCGGGTAATGCAGCAAGGCCTGCGACGAGAGCCGGTGAAGGTGTACCTTCCCGTCCAGCTTCGGCGTGCACACGACCTCATCAAAAGCCTGCGAAAGTCTCCGACCGACTACTGTCGTCACGTGAAGAGGTTCTTCCAGTGCCGTAGGACAAGTGTGGAGGTGTTCTGACTCGGTGACCGTGGCTCAGGTTCTCGGGCGCGACAATTCTAGAGGTCGTTTACGATCATAGGGTCGGCTCGCGTGGCGAGGAAGATCCTATCCTGAAGCGAATCTCCGATGCGAACGACGTGGGCGTTCTCGCGCTTGCGCCGGGAAACATTCTCCGCTTGAGCGTGTTCCCGTTTCGTGAGCCCATCTTGCTGCTCTCGGTTCATGTGGACTGCATTTGAATGTGCTTCTTCAGTCCGGCACATCCCCACATGGCTTTCTGGTGGGCAGCTCGACTCTGCAGTTTGCAGAAAGCACATGGAGACAATGGTCGAGGTGCCATACAGCGAACTCAAACACAAACTGGTATGCGCACTTTTCTCAAACCAGTCGTTTAGCGCATACCTTATAATCAATACAAGGCTTCCGGATATGCTGGTCAGTGTTTAGTAGCCGACGCGTTGGAGCACTATGGTGGTCAGACCAGCGATAAAAGCCTTGAGAGTAGTATTAAGGATGCGTTCGGGACTGCATTTGCTGGCGAGTGTTGCGCTCTTTAAATTCGTTCCGCCCTTACAACTCCTCGACGCCAGCTGGCGAGGATACCGTAAGCGGTTGACTATGCTTCCTATTAGTCAAGTTTACCCATTCTTTTCCTTAGACAGGTTCGACGTTGATGATATTCATTCTCGCCATGGCCCTGTACCCCGAAGTTCAAACACGTGCACAGAGTGAAATTGACTCTGTTGTTGGAAGCGGACGTCTCCCCAGCTTCGACGACTGGGAGACACTACCTTACGTGGAGGCTGTATTTCGTGAGACACTGAGGTGGTACCCCGTGGTTCCGTTAGGTGAGCGTTTTACAAAGAGTGGAGAATAATACAGCTGATCACAACGTAAAAGGCGTTCCTCATGCAGCGTCCCGCGAAGATGTATACCGCGGGTACCATATACCTAAAGGTACCGTTTCTCCCCATCACAGCGTATTATGACAGCTGTTCACAGCATTATCGACAGGGGCTGTTGTAGTACCTAACGTCTGGTACGTTACGCATTTAAGTTAGCATAAGAAACCTAGTGATAAGCCTTCGTAAGGGCTATGACGCGAGACCCAGATAAGTATCACTCCCCTGCAGACTTCAAGCCCGAGCGCTTCCTCGACGAGCAAGGCAACCTAACTAGTGACGAGGTCGACTATGTTTTTGGTTTTGGTCGGCGCATCTGTCCGGGGCGATATCTTGCCAAGGCATCTGTATGGGTAGCGATGGCATGTATCCTCGCCAGTCTCAGGATTGAGAAAGCTAAAGACGTAGACGGCCGTCCGATTGAGCCTAAGCCGGAGTGGGTTCACGGCATTACTTCGTAAGTGCTGTGATTAAAAGTTTAACACATCCCCAGCTAAGCATGATCAGCTCCCCAAAGTCCTTCCCATGTAGTATACTTCCTCGATGGTCGTGAAAGTCACCTAGGGACATGTTAAAAATGTGTACTAATGCATTATCACGGATGGTAGATTCGGTAATCTAGTTATGTTGAATTGCGCTTCTGCAAGGATCTGCTTGCTTCAGCCCATTATTCGAGAACGCTCTCACTGGACTGTTCAAAGGAGGCGGAAAGAGCTAAGTAAGTACTCGGGAAACCCCTGAGGTTGCCATTGACGGCTTCGGTCCGGCATCTTCCGAATGGCCAGCGAGCGACGCGTCTCTTTCGCGTTGATCCTCCCTTCCTCTCAACTCTTTGAGTTTGCTTCGATTTTTAACGCGCATAACGCTCATTTGCATCTCGGCTGTCGTCAATGCATCCTTGCATTGCTCAAAGAACGCAACCTGGGCTACATTCACGCCGTCGAACACGCATCAAAGGCTCCGAAACTTCCGAAGTCCAAGTCCAAGTCCGTCCAGAGCATACCCTTCTCTTCGCCCTCTCTGCGAGCATGCCGTCGTCCGATGCGCTTTCCAGTGTGCTCTACATGCTGAGAGGAGAGTTTCCTCGGCATGTCGGATGCCGTTCTGCGCCGGCTGCATCTCATAGCGAGTGCTGACATGCAAACCTCAAGCTATTGACTACATGCTTCATGAAGAACGGCTGGTGCAACGTCTAGGATGACCGCTGGAACGTCCTTTCCAAAACTCTGGATCGATGTTCAGGCCGGCCGCGCCGAGCTGTCTTTTTCGCTCAGCTCAGCCTCCGAAGTGCTCACTCACAAGAGGTTTCTGCAAAGCTTGACTAGCACGGAGACTCGATGCTAGACTCGATGCAACCTCGTCCCGATATCCCCTCTCCAGAATACAGATACAGATTCTGCAGTCACCTTTTCTATCGATCTCGAGCACGCCCTGTGATATCATAGATCAAGCTGTGCTGCAGAGGACGGTGCGCACATAGGTGCTAGGCGGAGGTACGTTGATCATCCGGCCAGAATTAGTCGCTTGTGTCCCCCAGTCTTGCTGACACCCTTCGCAGCTGTCTGAGTTACCGGGGCAGCTGATAGTGGCTGGCTTTGAGTCGCGAGCGGATGGTATTCACGGAGACATGATCGTGGCAAGCCTGTGCCGCTGAGGGGTCCCCGCCATGCCTGGGGCCTGCAAGTCCGAGGAGTAGCTCTTTCCCATTCTATCGATCTGTTTGAGCACCGCAACCTTGACGCCACCATCCGCTGGCGCTTTATGAGGTCACGGTTTCCTCTCAAGCAGCCGTGCTCGTTGCTTGAGGGACCAGTGGGCCATGTAGTGCATACAGGTGCATACATTGGGAAAGTGTCTTCGCAATAGGTAAGTCTCTGCTCCACTTTGCGCCAGTTCTATGCGCCCGACTGGAAAAACTCGATTTGTGGAGAACGCCTTTTGCCCTGGGTATGCCTGGCTTCTTTCTCCCAGGCGGAATCTCTGCGCAGAAGGTTGTGCTTATTATACGAACTCTTGAAATGTCGAGTTGCTTATCTCCCCAGAGAATGTGGAAGGTGTGCTATCCCACTCTATCTGAATGTAACCATTGGTGGCTGATGTGAAACACCAATCATATCTCTCGATTGTTGGATCAGGTAGCTGCAGCTTCTCCAAACTTTAGCTTCCTTACAGTCTATTATGTCTACCAGACTCGTGGAAAGGACCCGCGCTCTCGTAGCTGGTACGTCGCTTGTGTTTAGTCAAATGACGCAGCTTACGCATAGACGGCATATAGTTTATCACCGAGTGTGCCAGACTATTAAGATCTGGTCGAGTGAGCGATGATAGCTTTTGATATGGCTTCTCCGCTCTTGTTGTTGGCTGTCGTTGCCCCTGTAGCTGGAGCTCTCATTGCTATCGCCAAGGCATACCGTAACGTCCGCTCGAAAGGCTGTCCTCCGGGCCCGAAACCCCTCCCGCTTCTAGGATGCGCACTACAGGTAGACGCTACGCAACCGTGGCTCACCTACACAGAATGGAAAGATACATATGGTACGACGACTACGAGACTGTCATGAATCCCATTTTGCGCTGACTGCATGAATTCCGGACAGGTGATATCGTGTACTGTCCAACATTCGGTCAGGACACCATTGTCGTCAACTCTGAGGAAATGGCGCAGGATCTGTTTGATAAGCGGTCCAGCAACTATTCCGATAGGATGGATGCTTCTGTCTTGACCGATCAGTGCGTGCTTGAACCACTTCACCGTCATCTCATTCGAAACTCCCTTGTAGCTATGGGATGGGCTACCACACCGCAATAATGGGGCACAACGACGAATGGCGCGCGCACAGACGGGTAGTTCAGCAAGGTCTTCGGCGAGAGCCAGTTGAAGTATACCACCCTGTTCAACTTCGGCGTGCGCACGACCTTATCAAGAGGTTGAGGGAGACTCCAAATGATTATTGGGATCACTTCAAGAGGTTGGTCTTACGTCTGAACGTAGGCATGTCCTTACCATAGGCACGTTTTAGGTTCTCTGGCACAACAATTTTGGAAGTCGTGTACGCCCACAGGGCAGACGAAAACGATGAGGAAGATCCCGTCCTGAAACAAGTGTCTGATTCCAACGAAACGGCCGTCCTCGTTCTCGCACCAGGAAATATCCTTCGCCTGAGCATCTTTCCTTTCCGTACGTACGTTCTTCGGCCGTGTGCACGTATTGACACCAGCTGATCTCTCAACTCTAGTTAGAATGATCCCTAGGTGGTTTCCTGGAGGAGAGCTCAACTCCGCGTTTTCTAAGAGGCAAGTGAAGGTCATGCTCGACACACCTTATAATGAGCTCAAAGGCAAGTTGGTACGCACGTTCAATCTAGACGCTTATCCTCGTATGGCGCTAATATGCTTCTTCCAGGCCAGCGGCAATGCTGGTCGATGCCTGGTTGCCGACGCTTTGGAGCGTCATGGCGGACAGATTAAGAACGAGAACCTTGAGAAAACCGTCAGAGATGTATTTGGGACTGCCTACGCTGGTATGTACTGTACTGCGTGCCAGAGATCGTACTGTTCTTACATTCTTTCATCTATAGCTGGAGAGGAAACTGTTCGTATATATTTTATATATACTTCTGTACACTAACTCAATATTGTCGTAGAGCGCTTCAACGCTGATGATCTTCATCCTTGCTATGGTGCTTTACCCTGAGGTACAAAAACGTGCTCAGAGCGAGATCGACTCCATGGTCGGTATTGGACGTCTTCCTAACTTTGACGACTGGTCGACACTGCCGTATGTTGAAGCTGTCTTTCGTGAGACGATGAGGTGGTACCCTGTCGTTCCTATAGGTACGTTGAATATATATCGTAAAAGATTTCGATGCTAAACAAAACGTAATAGGCGTTCCACATGCTGCGTCCCGCGAAGACGTATACTGCGGATACCATATACCTAAAGGTACCGCTTTTACTTATAGCCGCTTGACATCTTCGTTCCTTACAGTTCGCTGATAACAGGTGCTGTGATTGTACCCAACGTATGGTAAGTTTCGTGTCTAATCTTGGGAAACAACCCTGTGACGGGTCCCCACCAGGGCCATGACGCGGAACGCCGAAAAGTACCCCTCACCCTCGGAGTTCAAACCGGAGCGTTTTCTCGACGAGCAAGGCGACCTGATTAGTGACGACGTTGGCTACATCTTTGGATTTGGCAGGCGCATCTGTCCAGGGCGGTATCTCGCAAAGGCGTCTGTATGGGTGGCGATGGCCTGTATTCTCGCCGAGTTTAATATTGAGAAGGCTAAAGATGCAGAGGGTCGACCTGTTGAACCCAACCCGGAGTGGGTACATGGGATAACTTCGTGAGTGTGTCAGCGTCATGAAGGTTTGATGCGGCCTTGATAAGCGGGATTAGGTCTCCAAGGTCCTTCCATTGCAACATAATTCCGAGATCGTTATGATATTACGCCTGCGCCGGTTAAGACTCTACATCATTTCAATCAGCATGCACTCTACACAGTTGTATTGACTACTTCAGAATGTCGTACTCTGATTCTTTTCTATGGAAGCATATTTGACATCTTTCCGATAAAGTCAGACGCATATTCAAGTTTTGGTGCGCTTTCTCATGCGCAACGCCTGTTATAGAAGATAGGTCATGAATCATTCGCTTTGAGCTTTTGTTGTGCTTAATTAGTTTCAGTCTCGTGGGAGAAAGCCATTTGGTGGCCTGCGCCCTGTGATCACGATCCACACCCCCATCATCAATAACGCCGCCCATTCATTGCTCGCTGTTGTAGGTGTCCTGATAAGAAAGCAGCTAACTCCTTCGGATGGCATCCGTGTGTAGCGGGGTCTGTGGATTTCATACATAAAAAAGGACCGCTCTACTATCGTGAGCTATTGTCCCTCTTAATATGCACAGTGCGATACTGACCTCCGTTTCAATCATAGCAGCTCTCGTCGTAGCTACCATACGAGTCAGACGCAATCTACGCAAAGCAGGTGTCCCGCCGGGACCGCCACCCCTGCCGCTCTTAGGGAATACTCATCAAGTTGACCCAGCCCGTCCATGGATCACGTTTGCTGATTGGAAGGATACATACGGTACAGTCTAGTTCTCCTTCCGAGAATATTCAGCTGATAAACATCTTGGCTAGGCGATATCGTGTATTGTAGAATGCTCGGTCGAGACATAGTCGTTATCAATTCTGAAACGATAGCCGAAGATCTACTCGGGAAGCGCTCTCTCAATTATTCTGACAGAATGAACATGTCTAAAATGCTTGAAACGTGAGTACTATTAGATATTGGTACAGGCGCCATCTTGAATACTAAGGACATTGTGTGGTTTAGGTACGGTCATACGTTTGATACCGCCCTTTTGAACCACGATGACACATGGAGAGGCCACCGACGCGTTCTGCAGCAATCTCTTCGTCCCGAGGCTGTAACATCGTATCAGCCCATACAGCTCCGTTGCACCGCTAAGCTCTTGGATAGTTTAGCAAATTCGCCCGAGTCATGGTGGAAACATATTCAACTGTGCGTCCGCTTCTCTATTGATGGATCATAACCACTCGCTCATAATCATCATTCCTAGATTCTCGAGCTATGATATTTTAGGGGTAATCTATGACCATGACATGCCACCAGATCCAGAAAACGACGCTGTACAACAAGCCGCAAATATGGGAGTAGAAATCGGTACTATCATCGCCTCCCCAGGCTTGATCGCACTTGCTACCGCGTTCCCATTCCGTGCGTGTGCTCTTTCACGATCTTTTATCTATATTATGACCAAGATTCAAACTTCTGCAATGATCAGTGAAATATACTCCCACGTGGTGTCCTGGAGGACGTTGGATCAACGCGGCAAATTCGCGAAAGCATATGAAGGATTTTGTTGATGTACCTTTCAACACGGTGATGAAGAGAATGGTACGTGTCTGATTTTGCCAATGAATGTCGGAATCAATCACTCACTGTAATTAAGGCATGCGGCGAGGCAGGGACATGCCTTGTAGCTGACGCTTTAGCAAAATTCGGTAACACGGGTAAAGTTAGCAACGCTGAACAAGCTATCAAAGACGCGTGCGCCACAGCATACGGAGGTAAGCTAGCTCATACTCGGCGGATTTCTACAAGACTGACTTTGTCTCGCTTGTCATCAGCCGGAGGGGAAACAGTCAGGCATACCGCTTGGCTAACCCTTCAGAGCTGGCTAACGCTTGTATCTTTTAGACTGCATCGACACTAACTGTATTTACGCTAGCCATGGTACTTTACCCGCATGTTCAAGCGCGCGCCCAAGAGGAAATAGCGGCAGTCGTGGGAAATGAGCGTCTTCCTGACTTCAGCGATAGATCAGCTCTACCCTATATTGAAGCAGTTCTGCGCGAGACTTTAAGGTGGAGACCTGTTGTTCCGTTAGGTAACGTTCCCCCCAAACCACCCTGTTGAGCATTTCTTCGCGCGACGCTGATAGTGCACTTAGCGATACCTCACGCTGCGACAAATAATGATATATACAATGGCTATGTGATTCCGAAGGGTTAGCAACATTAACATTCCCTTCACATTGAGCTCACGTCATTGCTAGGGGCTGTTATTATTCCTAACGTCTGGTACGTACAACCTTAGTGATCTAATGTCACCAAGATGAGCAATTTTGCAGGGCGATGGCTCGCAACACAGAGAAGTATCCATCTCCGGATACATTTGACCCAGATAGATTCCTCGATCCAAATGGAAAACTCAATGAGGATACGCCTGATTTTGCATTTGGCTTCGGTCGTCGCATCTGCCCTGGTCGCTATCTGGCACTCGGATCGGTGTGGGTTGCGATGGCGCAAATTCTGGCATCGTTTTCGATCGAGAAAGAGAAGGATTCTGTGGGAAGCCTGATCGAGCCGAATCCGGGATGGACGCATGGTATAACCTCGTGAGTGGTCAATGTTTCTTCAGCAACGTTTAGGCACCTACACATTGCTTGTGCCACAGCTTCCCCAGATCATTCCCATGCAACTTCGTTGCTAGGAGAGAATGAATCCATATCTCATGTGAGATTATTTTGTTTGATAGCGAAGTGCAAGGATAGCTGTAAATGTGTCTTACTTCCCCCGCGAATTGCACTCTGCGCACGCTTTCCGGGAGACTTGGAACTTGTGTGACCCAATCTTGCCTGGTTGTTTTCAGTCCCTTAGTTACGACGACGAATGACTGTCAAACGCTTTGGATTATGCAATGAACAATGTCGCCAATAAGTACAGTACGCTGGGGCGTTCCCAGGTTGTTGCCTGTCACTGGATGCACAGTAAAGTTTTTTAGGGCAGAAAACTGTGGGAAAACAGGAAAAAAACCCAAATTGTTTTCACAGTTTTTCAGGATGTAATACTGGATAAAAATCTGTGATTTTCTCACCATATGTGGTGGATAAAAATCGGTTGAAAACTTTGAAAAAACTGGATAGCATCTAGCTAAAATGTGCGTGCTTTTATTCTGGTTTTTATATAGTAAATGCTTGAAGTTTTCACAATAAAAAACAAATATTAATGACAACAAAAACAGGGAGGTACAAACTAATTTTTGTTTAGTTTTCTTGGTACACTATTTGAGAGATAACTAAATATGAATACATCAAAGCTATCCAATTATTGAGGAGAAAAAATCAAAAGAAAATAAGGGAAAAAATACAAGAACACTTCACCAGTTTTCTCACCTAAAAAATCAAACAAAAAAATCAGAAACCGAGATTTTGATTATTTTAACTGTGGCTTATATGGTGGATGCTCAATTGAGCTGCAGCCAACATGGTGCGTGAGTG